CTCACAAGAAAAATATATTTCACCAAGCGCACCCTGCTGTCTTCATTTTGTTTCTCTCACACATTATATCTGGATTGAGTTCCCTCTTGTTCCTCCTGAATGCACCCCCTCCCTCCAGCAAATCCACTCCTTATTACATGCCATCCTATCTACCCTGTTCTCTGCTGGTCAGGAGCCAACCAGCTTTTGAATACAGTGGAAATTGCTATTTTATGACCTCTTTGCAGGGAGGCTACGCCTGGAGCAAACTTGTGGCGATCCTTGCCTTCTCCTTGATTGGGAGTGGAGTTTCAAAGAGTTTCTCTTTTGATTGCAGCCATCAGGTCCATGAGAACGGAGCGGTCTTCAGTCCTCCACCATTACTCCCCCTTGCCCCCTATTTTCACCCTGGGCTGTTCTATTCTCTGTTCTTCGGGAACTTTCATAGTGGTCATGCTGTTGCTCCTAACATGACCCATTAAGACATGAACTTTCTTTGCTCTGTATTTTTCACTGTTCTGAAAGCGCCTTACTCCTTACAGCTCTCGGCGGGCACCAATTCTATTTTTGCCCAGACTGAATGAAGTACAATCTCTTCCTTTGCTCTCTCTACTTACCCATAACAAATATTCCTAACCCTTCCTTTCACCCTACTATTTCAGTCGCAATGCACACTAAATCTATAAAGTTGTAATGCAATGTATACTAAATCTACTGCATTGATACTACTGCATTTCACCTCTACGGAACTGAATCATCTGTTCTTGCTTTTCTACTTCTAAATTCATAGAATTTTCTATAACCCTATTATGGAATGGAGATGAAAGACCAGTATGCTCTCTTTTCAGTTGATTATGGAAGCATCGGAGCCAGAATGTATTTATTTACTGTATATTCTGCCTTTATTTATTTATACAAATAACTCAAGGCAGTGAACATGCCCCATACTTCTTCTTTCTCTTATTTTCTCCACCACACCAGCCCTATGAGGGAAGTTGGGCTGAGCGAAAAGGACTGGCACTGACTTTCATGGTTTAAGATAGGACTAGAACTTACTATCTCCTGGTGATTGCCCTAGTCACCCAGCCAGCTTTCATGCCTGAGGCAGGAGTAGAATTCACAGTTTCCTGATGATTGCCCAAAGTCATCCAGCTGGCTTGTATGCCTAAGGCAGGACTAGAATTCACTGTCTCCTGGTTTCTCTAGCCTGATGCCTTCACTGCTAGACCAAACTGGCTATTGGACAGTACAATAAGGGAACAACAACTCAATTAATACTGGATGGACTGGGAGGTACTGAAGCATGAGTATCATTGACAATAGACCATTGGAGCCCATTGCCTTCATAGACATTTAACTGTGGCTTTAATATGTATTAAAATGTGCTTAGAGTTTTTAATAGAGGAATGACATAGGTTTCATTAAAGGGTGCTTTAATTCTGATTGAGAATAAAAGAATAATAGACTTGGAAGGATATTGGAGATCTTCTAGTCTAACCTCCTGCTCAGGTAGGAAAACCCTACACCATTTCAGACAAATGATTGTCCAATCTCTTTTTAAAAACTTCCAATGTTGGAGGACCCACAATTTCTGGAACCAAATTGTTTCAATGATTAATTATTCTCATTGTAAGAAATTCCTCCTTAGTTCTAGGTTGGGTCTCTCTTTGATAATCTTCTACCTGTTACTTCTTGTCTTGTTTTCTGGTACTTTGGAGAATAGGCTGACCCTGTTTTCCTTGTGGCAGCCTCTCAAATATTGGAACACTGCTATCATGTTACTCCTAATCAGGGGTGGGATTCAAATTTTTTAACAACCGGTTCTGTGGGCGTGGCTTAGGTGGTGGGTGTGGTTTGGTGGTCATGTGACTGGGTGGTCATGGTTTGGTGGTCATGTTATTGGCTGGGCGTGGCCAACTCAATATCACTCACATTGAGGCACACATCTCCTCACCTGGCCTCTCAAGACTGAGGATACTGCAACAGTTGTAAGTGTGAAAAAGGGTCATAAGTCATTTTTTCAGTGCCATTGTAATTTTGAATGGACACTCCACTCAAGCAAAAGTGCCAGCAAAGGAGGGGGAAAAAAACTCCAGAGAAGTTCCTAAGACAGGAAGTCTAGCCCTGGCAAGAATGTAATAAGGGTTAATGGAGAGGCAGTTTCTGTAAGCAACACCAGAATGTTTCCTTCCTGCCTTTCTTACAGGATTAGGCCAGTAATTTCTTGTAACAACCAGTTCTCCGAACTGCTTAGAATGTTAACAACCAGTTCTAGCAAATAGGTGTGAACTGGTAGAATCCCACCTCTGCTCCTAATCCTTCTTTTCTACTAGACTAGACATACTTGATTCTTAGAACCATTCTTCATATGTTTTTGCCTCCAGGCCTCTAATGGTCTTTGTTGCTCTTCACTGCACTTGTTCCAGAATCTCAGTGTCTTTTTTATAATGTGGTGACCAAAACTGGATGCAGAGTTCCAGGTGTGATCTTACTAAAGCTTTATAAAGTAGTATTAATAATTCACGTGATCTTCACTATATCCCTCTGTTTAGGCAACCAAGGATTGCATTAGCTTTTTTGGCTGCTGCCACACACTGCTGACTCATATTTAAGTGATTGTTCACTGTGATTCCAAAATTCCTCTCACAATTACCCCAACTGAGCCAGGTTTCACCTAATCCGTACCTGTACATTTGCTTTTTCTTGCCTAAGTGTAAAACCTTACTTTTCTCTATATTGAATTTCATTTTGTTAGATAAGGCCCAGTGTTCAACTCTGCTAAGATCATGCTGGATCTTGAACCTACTGGGAAGTTGGCTATTCCTGCCAGTTTGTTGAGTTCCCTTTCTATTCCTTCATCTAAATTGTTAATGAGGATACTGAAGAGTCCTGGGCTTAAGACAGAAACTACTTACTTCCCTCCACGTAGATGTAGTTCCATCAGGACTATACATTGAGTGTGGTTTGTCACTCAACTTCTGTCACTACTATTATGTCCCTGTCAGTGGTGGGATTCAATTTTTTTTCCTACTGCTTCTGTGGGCATGGCTTGGTGGGCATAGCTGAAAAATCTGAAAAATCTCCATTCCCACCCCACTCCAGGGGGAAGGTTACTACAAAATCCCATTCCCTCCCCAACCCACTAACCTGCTTTCCAGCTCCGTTCTACTGTACAGGGCAACCAAAGACGACTCAGACGATCGGCTGGGACTCAAGAGGCAGAGAATAGATGAAGGCGAGGCCAGTAAGAGGTGGTATTTGGCGGTTCTCTGAACTACTCAAAATTTTTGCTATTGGTTCTCCAGAACTGGTCAGAATCTGCTAAATACCACCTCTGGTCCCTGTCCCCAGAAGCCATAAATCTGGGCCAAGACAACCAGACAAGCCTATCTGATATCCAAAACAATACAACCAGCACCCCAAAATAGGTAAGGAAGTGGAGAAAGAATTGAATAAGAATGAAGGCAGCTGATTATATACCAGCACTTCATCTTATGTTCTTATCCTTATTATAAGGTAGCACCACAACAAACCTCATTCGTGGATCATCTGGAGGAGTCATCTCTAGGACGTGAGGAGGCCCATTCAACACAACTGCATGTAAGGAAATGCTTGGATTTTCTGTCCCGACCTAGAAGGCAAAAGGAGAACAAGATGATAGTTAGGACAGAAAGTTACCATTCCATGATTTTCCTGTATTCAGAGGGGGGAATAGTCCATAAGCCACATTTCACGTTTCCCAACCCCATTGATCCCCATTGATCCTCTGGTCATCTTGACGCCCCGACCACAGCCTTGCTGGAAAAGTGACCTAAGCTCATTTAGCAACAACCTCATTTAATAACTCTTTGTCATTATGAAGGGGGAAGATAAATTAACTTCGTGACCAATTCTTGCATTTATGACCTATGCAAGTCTGCATAGCAAAGGAAAACTGAAGACAGACTATGAGCACAGTTGTGCTCTGCAACCGCTTTGCTTCATGACCCAATTATGGTTGCTCAACGAGCACCACTACTGTTACAGATAGCAATTCTATAAATATGACCCTGAAGGCTATAGTTAAAATATCTGTTCTGGAATAATCTTGCTTTTCTAACTGCATTCAGTTAATTTTGAATTGTATCTCCCAGTGAAAATAACCAAATCTTAAATGTTAGATGAATAGTAAAATCTATCCTACCTTTGGGTAATGATAGGCTTCTGCTTTGGGGTAAAGGCTTCCAGTGAACATGGGTATCTCCATTAATGGGACTCGGGAGTCATTAATAGTCGCATAGGCTAATCTTGTGCCATCCGGAGACCACCAGTGAGCAATTTGGCTTTTCAGGATCTCTTCTACAGAAACAAGAGAATTGAAAAAAAAAATACTGTGATATCAAATCTATTAGTTAACAAGGAAATGTAAGGATAGATTGAAGGAAAAAATCTACTTTATGGGCAGGATATTATCACTGGGAGGATAAAAGTAATGGGAAAAAATATCAGATTTTTTTTTTATTGATCCTCATGAATGGCTTCCGACTTTGATGGATTTTCTTTGATGTTGTGTAAAATAATCTCTTCAAAAGAAGAAAGAAACGTACCACTGTTGATCCCAATGATTCATGTATTTTGCTCAAGTTTGGAAGAGCTTACCCTTGCGGCATTAAACTGGGGGAAAATTTCACTCACTACCAAATCGTTAATTGAAGTGTTCTGAAAGTGTTAGGATTTATCTTTTGCTTTGGGCAATGTACAGTCATGAAAAGTACAATCCAATGTTTTAATCGCTCAGTATGATTAGCTGTAGATCCTGCAAAATTTATCATAGCTTTCTAAAACCTTTGCTCAGGGATATGCTTTTAGAAGTAAACCTTTGGCTGAACTCTGAATGATGGGGATGTGTGGAATTCTCCAAAAATGTGGACTTTATTTGGGTAAGCACCATCCCAACCAGGTACCACGCTCCAAAAACTAATGGATGGGGTAAATTAAAACTAAATCTGCTTTGCCTTCATTTATATTTGATTAAAATTAAATGTAAATGGTGTGAATACCCTCTGACCATACAGGATATACTTTTCTCCTTTTAATCTGTGAAAGGTAGTAAATTTTGGTAGCAATTTTTGCAGAATTTTGTGAGTGGGACATAAACCTGGGTTCATGCTAGGCCTTTCTGATATTTAACTTCTGCATTTTGAACTTGAGCTGCCTTCAAATTCCTGATTATGCAGACATATAGGGCTAAGATAACTTGGATGAGTTTCATGTACGCATTGTTTGTTTGTTTATATGTATGTAGGTATGTGTCAGTGGTGGGATTCAAACTTTTTTATTATTGGTTCTGTGGGCGTGGCTTGGTGGACGTGGTAGGGGAAGGATACTGCAAGATCCCCATTCCCTCCCCACCCCTCTAACCTGCTTTCCAGCTCCGTTCTCTTGTGCAGGGCAGCCAAAGAAGACCCAGCCGATCAACTGGGACTCAGGAGGCAGAGAATAGATGGGGGTGGGACCAGTCAGAGGTGGGATTTGCTGGTTCTCTGAATTACTCAAAATTTCTGCTACTGGTTCTCCAGAACTGGTCAGAACCTGCTGGATACCACCTCTGGTATGTATGTATGTATGTATGTATGTATGTATGTATGTATGTATGTATGTATTTGTGGTAGCTGTTTGGATTTTTATTTCTTTTCCAAGAATGCTACTAACCCACTAAGACAGATTACCTGTTTAAATTAAAGAGTGCACTGTCATAAGTAAAACCCAGTATTCACAGAGAATACTGTGTAAAGAATATGAGCTGAGAATATGTGGCAAAAAATATCACATTTAACTATTAGAGAAGCTTCTGTTCATGAGTAGGTGAACTACTGGCCTACTTTGTAGAACTGTTGTAACTATTACAAATGATGATTAAATCATTGGCATAGCATGGAAGTTGTGCCTCTCCTCCAAGAAGACGATCCAGCTGGGATCTCCCTCCACATTTTATCATCACAACAACCCTGGAATCTAACTTGGTAGCTTAGATTGAGGCACCATGAACTTTACAGGGTGAATGAGGGTGTGAATAATAGTAATAGAAATAGAGAAGGGGAGGCAGAGGAGGACATGTTGCTAAGTAGGGTTGGTCTTAATTGGGACTTGTTCGGCAGAGTAACAGGAATATTAGTAACGCAGTGTGGGGCAAGTATTCCCAAATTCTGGTCTGTGGACAGCTACCAATCCATGGCCCATTGGCAATTGGTCTACACAAGCAGCAGGGAAAACCATCCCAGGAAAACACAATGGCAAATTCTAATTATTAATTATGTGAGGAACTGTCTCGCCTCAGTGGGACTGCCCAGTAGAAGGGGCATGCTGAGGACCAGGTCAGGCAAGGAATTCTGGACTCTTGACGAATGTATCTTTTCTTTTATGTATACTGAGAGTATTTATACCAAGACAAATTCCTTGTGGGTCCAATCAGACTTGGCCAATAAAATATTCTATTCTATTCATTTGAGGGTGAGGGTGTCTGGAAGAAGAACTTTTTCTGCTGTGACCCCTCTTCCTTTTGGAACAGCTTGTCCCCAGAAGTGAGATCTGCCTCCAACTTTTTGGCCTTCCAGAAGGGCCTTAAAACCTGACTTTATTGATTGGTGTGGGGCCTGGATGGAGACATTCTAGGCTGGAGGTGACCGTTGGAGTAATGGAGAAGACATTACCTCTGTAGTTTGTAGGTGACTCTTGTTGGGTTTTTTTTTCTTTTTCTGAGCTTGTCGATCAGAAAGGTCAGCAGTTCGGCGGTCTGAATCCCTAGCATGGCGTAGCAGAGTGAGTTCTCATTATTTGCCCCAGCTTCTGCCAACCTAACAGTCCGAAAGCTTGTAAAAATGCAAGTCGAAAAATAGGGACCACTTGGGTGGGAAGGGAACAGCGTTCTGTGGACCTTTGGCGTTTAGTCATGCCGGCCACATGACCACGGAGACGTCTTTGGACAGCGCTGGCTGTTCGGCTTAGAAACAGAGATGAGCACCGCCCCCTAGAACCGGAAACGACTAGCACGTATGTGCGAGGGGAGCCTTTACCTTTAAGTTTCCTAGAGTTGCTTTGGATTGAGAAATGGGCAGGATGCAGACTTACTTAAATAAATAAATGCTGCCAGTAAAACCGCGTAGACACATCTGTGTACTCACCAGGAGTTGAGGGCTCAACTCAACATGACATTCTTAATAAGAACAACTCATCCTACAGATGAAACCTTGAAGAATTCATAACAGAAGAACAGGGACCTGAATCTCAATCAGAGCCAATAATTTTAGCCCCAGGCCCTGTTTTTATTGGCTACAAGGCTGCTGGTTATCCATAGTGCCTATAAATTATTCCAATGGGATAATCTGAGCTTTGCGTTCAACATGCAGCACGAGCCTCTGATGTTCCTGTCTTTCTTCTTAATATTATTTGACATGACGCTTTCATTAACTTTCCTATAAAAAAATCATAGTATCTTTTTTCCCCTCCTCCTCCCACCCCCTTCACCCCACCACATCTGCCACTGAACAGGATCAATAGTGCACACTTTATAAAGAGAAGAGAAACAGGCCTCTTCCCTTCAGCCTACATGGTTTCCAGCCTCTCTTCAATTTTCTTACAGCACAGCTGTCATTCAGATTTGATGTAGTGCATGATATATTTATTATAGACAATGTGGTGCCTCTACAATGCTGAGATCATGTGTCTTCAACAGCTCTGAATGGCAGCTCATGCAGAGAAGCAATAGATATTTATTAAGCCTGCATTCCAATGCAATGGGGCATCCTTATCAGCAGCTTTTCTGCCACGGAGGAGCAATATTTGAAGCAGTATCCGAGTAATAAACCTCTCTTTCTTTCTTTTGCTTCGTGATTATTATATTTTATTTACAGAAAAGTCTGTCTGCCAGCATTTGTCTGTTTGGTGCCTTTTGAAAGTCTGGATTACTACTCCCACACCCTCTGAGCTCATGCTGGATGGGAGTTAAGAGAGCTGTAATCCAGAACTTCTGGAAGTCTCGGACTGTCAAAGGCTGCAAAAGCAACAACACTGGAAATTCTTCTCTAGTTTACTGAACAGAGACACAAATCTTGCATGTGGGCCACTTTTGCTTCTAGGAAGATAAACGTGAGGATTCCTTTGAGTTGGACCAACTCTTGATGACTTCATGAATTTCTTGGCAATAGTATGAAAGTGATTTCTGATTGTCTTCTATCAAAATGTATTCTTGACTTTCTAATCTAGCCCACAGCCCTAAAATGTCCTCTGGTTTTCTATCCAAGCACTAACCAAATCTGACCCCACTTAGCTTCTCAAGATCAGCCAAGCTTAGCTAGGTGCTGTTAGCTAATGGAACCACGCAGGAAGACTCAAATTACTGTAACTGTAATTCATCAAACAGCTGGGGATTTATGCCAAATGAATCCAGAGGTAGGCTTATCAAAGCCCCAGGATCACAGATGATTGCTGATTTTCATGACCTACTAGGAAATCTCAGGTGTAAGGGCTACGTTGGGAAGTCAAGACACCCAGATGGTGGCTATCTTTAAGCCTAACTTGTTTGTTTACTTAGCTGAGCCCAACAAGTGAAGTAGACATCATGCTTATTGAATAATCCTGGCTTAATATTAAATATCTGGAAAGAATATGTAAACAAAGGATGGGGCTAAATTATAGGGCCTAACTAGAGTGGGCTTCACATGAAGTAACAAATTAAAAATATGTAGGCTGGTAAAGTGAAAGAATATGCAAGAAGCAACTTTATGCAAATGTCTCATTTAATTTCCCCTCTCATCTATTCAATTCCAAGTTTCTTTACTGTGGTTGGAAGAGATCACATCTTCCATTTCTCATCTGGTTGTCCCTGAAAAGATGAAACAAGCTGACCGAGATTGACCAAAGTTTGGTAAACTTGGGAAACACTATATGTTTGGAGTAAAAATGCTTCAAAGAAGAACAGCCAAGTTAGCCTATCCAATAAATGAAGTCTGTCTCTTTAAAAACCCTGCTCATCTTCAGCCTAGGATCCACCACTGGATCTCTGTGAAGAAGTGCAATGAATTCAATCTTATGCTGCGAAAACACCATGTTTGTTCATGGATCTATACTCTTATCATGACATCAACAGCAATCCAGCTGGGGTGCATTAGGTACAGGCAAAAAAAAGGTGGGTGGGAAATCTGGCTTAATGTCTCAGGAATATTTCTGCACAGAAGATTTCAGGAAAGCATGTTGAGAGGCACCATTTCCTCCTACTTCCCAATTCCGCTTTCACATTGTAAAGTGGCGATACTGGAGTTAAGACAAACTAGCTGAGCATATACATCTGACTTTCTGCCTTC